TTCTACGTCTGGATATTGTGTCTTAGTAGGAGGAAATTTGGTGTCCTGGAAGAGCAAGAAACATAATGTGGTTGCTCGGTCTAGTGCAGAAGCAGAATATCGAGCGATGACTATGACGACATGTGAGCTAATTTGGATCAAACAGTTGCTCAAGGAGTTGAAATTTGGTGAGATTAGTCAGATGGGACTTGTGTGTGATAATCAAGCTGCTCTTCATATTGCGTCAAATCCAGTGTTCCATGAGAGAACTAAACACATTGAGATTGAATGTCATTTTGTCAGAGAAAAGATACTCTCGGGAGATATTGCTACAAAGTTTGTGAAGTCGAATGATGAGCTTGCGGATATTTTCACCAAGTCCCTCACTGGTCCTCGTATTAACTACATATGTAACAAGCTCGGTACATATGATTTATATGCACCGGCTTGAGGAGGAGTGTTAGAATAGTTATGTAAATAGGAGTAAATAACCCTAATCCCATATGTATTAGGAGTAGGACATGTTATGTGTGTGTATATATATATAGGGCTCATTGTATTGTGTTTAACATAAGAGAATAATATCAATAATATTTTCTCCCGTGCATTCTCACAACCTACTCCAATAACTTTGTTTTACTGCTTCCATCATTACCACACAAGAGCAACTATTAGTATGCCTTAATCTCAAACTAGCGGGAGTTGGTTATATGAATGCAACATCTAGTTCGCTCTATTTGGATCAACTTGGCAAACACCAGATCTAGTGTAAGTTTATCAATCTGATTAAATCTTAATACCAATTATTGGTATCACCTCTGTAGATCTTTTGCTTCCATTTTAATTATAGTCTATCTTTTGCTTGCAAAGTCCACATAAATCCAGAGAGATGTCGACTTCCTTCTACGTGATTTTAAGAGTGCTTTTAATGGGACAGAAAATGACTTCGTAAATTTGAAGGAATAGCCTCTTATTCTAGTTTCCTTTTGGTGCATCCATGAGGTTCTGGTTTGTATAAAGATTGAGTGTAATTCGTAAGGAATCATATCTTTTGGTACGTTCTCTACTTTTTAGTAAACTAGTATATGGGAGATGTTCCCAACATTGAGAAAATTATCTACCTTATAAAAAATAAAAAAATTCTACCTTGTTCCTTTTAACATCTTAAATCATCATAGTGTCACACCTACAAACTGGTGCTTCCATCACACCATATTGCCACAACATCTAATAATTAATTATCTCCTTTTTGCATCGAAAGTCAAAAGATGGACTGGGAACTCAGTAAACAAACGGTGACCCCCCCCCCCCCCCCCCCNGTCTGTGTTCACCCTCTTCTTCCTCTCTTTGTGCTTGTCTCTTTTCTCTGTTCTGCTCTAGCAGCACTCCTCAGTGTGTCTCGTGTCTTGTCTCTTCTATCTCTTTTGGAGTTCTTGAAATTCTTAGACGAGGCGATAAAAAGGTGAAGGTGGCTCTACTTACTTTTTTCTTTCTTTCATTTTCCTTTTCTTTTTGGTAGGGCTAAGTAGGGAGTGATCTTCCAAGAAACATTTGATTGTATTCCCCACGCTTTACTACCATTTTAGAGTGACTTTTGTGGAATATTTCTGATGAACTAAAATTTTGTTTTTCGTCTTTGTTCTAACAAGTGGGTTTTTGGTGGGAATTTTAGGCTCATTAGGAGTACTAATGAGAAAATTTCAGGATCAGGGTTAACAGTAGTTTGAGAGGTTTTGATATTGTCACTCGAGATTGTGACATAAGGGATATTCCTCTTACCAATACCCATTTCGCTTGGTGTAGGCTAGGACATTATTCAATTGCAAACTTGCACATATTGCGTCCTTTCTTCAGTAGAATGAGACATTTCCTTATATAGTACAAGAGAATCACCCCATGCATTTTCTCAGATCATTTTCGAGTTGTTCTCCATTTTCCTCAAGTTTTGCTGGATCAAGTGGGTTCTATTCCTTTTAGATTTGAACTATGTGGCTTTCTACTAGGTTTATCCCTCCTTTTGGGAAATGGTCAAATGTTGAGTAACGTGTGGTGGGCTTCTACTCTTTTCAGATTTAAAATATATTCTTTCCCATGTAACCTAGCATTCTTCTTTTATCTCTTACTTTTAAGTCATCTTTTGCTTTCAAAAGTTCGTCCACTTTCATTATTTTGTTTTTGGCTGACAAGGAGAATCTTTAGACAACTTTTAGTTTGCACGAGATAAATAGCTCAAAAGCAGCAGCGTGCATTTGAGGAGGACAGTAAATGGCAGATAGGAGGAGACTGGAGTGTAGCAGGATAGGTGCAAAGTAAGGTAGAAGAGTCATCAGGCGAATAGTCCTGAAAAAAGAATCTCACCTTCAAACAAACTGCATCAATGTGGAAATGAGGGCATGGCTGGGAGGATAGCTCTCAGTTTGTCACCCTTTTTATTTTTGGAATTTGCTTTTATTTCTATTGTAACATTTTAAATTTGGCACGGGGGAGAAGAAGTGCAGACAGTGTTTAGTTTGTGCATAACAATAAGTAGCTCCGGAACTCTGCGCAATACTTATGTAAGTGTATTCAGCAATGTTTTTGTTCTTTCATCTTAGTCCCTTTCTTAACTAAGTGTTCCCTTTATCCTTGACCACTGCTAGAGCATCTTAGATCTGACAAAATGATGGCATTCTACTATTTTGAAATACTTTTCTTTGCTACTGCATCATCAATTCATCTGGTTGCTTAGGAGAGTTAAAATCTCTAGTTGCTATGCATATTTTAAGTTTCAAGATTGAGAAAGAGGTGCATTTTTCTTTTTGGTTGTAAATATTTGATAATCTCGTGCTGAATTGTTCTGAAATTTATGCTGAGACAATCTAATTTTGTTATGTAAAGTTGTATATTTACTAAGCCATCCTGCTGCTCAACTGCCAATGCTTCTTATTTATTGATGGAAAGAATATGTACTAGGACAACAAACACGAACCTTTGCTGAAGCTGTGGAACAATATGCTCAACTTGGTCTGCGGACGTTATGTTTGGCATGGCGTGATTTAGAAGAAGAAGAATATCATGAATGGTCATTACTGTTTAAAGAGGCTAATAGTTCATTGGTCGATAGAGAGGTGAGAAATCATCACTATGGTTTATGCTTGCTACTATTTGCTTTTTTCTTGCAGCGAAGATTAGATCACCTGCGTTGTGTACCCAGTGTGCTCTGGACTTTCTGTTGGGTGCTGCACAAGTTTTCAATTGACTGAATGATCCAATACTTGTGTGCTGCAGTGGAGAGTAGCTGAGGTCTGCCAAAGGATAGAGCATGGCTTTGAGATTATTGGAGTTGCAGCAATTGAAGATCGTCTACAGGTGACACTGCTTTCTTTTTCTTCTCTTATCCTGGTAAGGCTTGCTTGCCGTGCTGACACAATTCTTGCAGTTATGCGAAGATGTTCCTTTTAGAACTATAATTCATCTTGTCTCAATGAGTTTCGTAATCTGACTTTTCACTTGTATATATATACACATATACATCCAGGATGGTGTGCCTGAAACAATTGAGACACTCAGGAAGGCAGGAATACACTTTTGGATGCTGACTGGTGACAAACAGAATACGGCAATACAGATTGCCCGTTCATGTAATTTTGTTTCTCCTGGTATGCCCTGTTGATTCTGTTCTCCTTCTGGTTCTTTTCTAATTTGTACTTTCTTGTACAACATCTCCAACTGTTTGATGACATATTCATGCCGCACTCTTAGATAGCTCAAATGCCTGACTGAGTTTTTACAAAAGATAAGAGACAAAGTTATGCTGAACAAAAATTGCATTAGGACTTTAGAGTTGATCTTCTGTTAAAGAAGTATTGCTGCTTCCCATGTTTGTGATTAACAAAATCCTTCCAATCAACTCCTCGTACCTTATGCTTGTTGCTAGATGCATTATCATAAAGGATTAGTTTGAGTCCAGGTAAAGGTTTCCTGCAGTTGTCTGGGAAAGTAAGGAATATTTTGGGCTCCTTTGAATTGTCTAACTAAATGAGCACGAATAGTCTTGTGATAGATGTGAAGTGGAGGGTCAAATAATCAAAAGAAAGAAAGTGGCTTTGGTTCAGAGATTCTTCATTGTAGCATTGGAAGTCGAAGAACTCTAGTGCCGCTAAAGAAAGGAAAAGACATATGATTCCCTACAATGATACTGATGAACAAATGCACTAGAGTCCAAGTTGATACCAAATAAAATGGACAGACGGTGACAGTTTGAGAGCCATTAACAGATTCCTGCAACTCTTGAGTAAATATCAGAAGCTAGGTATCCAACACTCAATCACAGCAAACCTTCTTAGAGCATATATGGAAAAAAGATAAAAAGATGGATGAGAAAATAGAAAAATAAAGTGACAGTTTGAGAGCAATTGATAGGTTTCCTATTATCAGAAGCTTGGACTCCCGAAACAAAGTCCATCCATCTTATTAGAGCATATACGGTGATAAAGATGGGACTAGTGTTAAAATTTGGTCTTAGGTTACCCAACTGCGGAATGGTGCAATGTCTGCAAGTTCCACTTGCAGTAGGAATGCCATGCAGCCTCTGTGCTGTCTTTGTTTGTACTGATTGCATAGAGATCAGGGAATTGTTCCTTTGCTAACCATTTATCTGTCCACATTTTCACTATCTTTTCTTTCCTTATTTTCATTTTTGGGAACGAGAAGTAGCACCTCTAGCCATTATATGGACCATTTTGTTATGGGTATNTTTGCCTACACCTCGACTGCTCCACTAGGTACCTCCTATCTCCCACAAGTACAAGTACTGGATGACTCGACTCACCAAGGCTTAGGACCTTAGGCAAATGAGAAGACATGACCTAGCATTTTGTCTCGTTTGGAATTCAAACGATGGTCTCTATTGATATTCACCCCATTTCATTAATCGTTAGGCCATACCCTTGGGTGCAAAGGGAGAGAAAACTTTGTACCGCCACCGGCTTTCAGGGATTTCTTGGTTATCTAAAAAGGAAAAAATCGGAATATCTAAAAGACCATAATGCTCTTGGCTCCAAAAAGTTAATGGCTAGCCTAAATATAATCCATCTTCCAAAGCGAGCCAGATGCAAAATGAAGTAGTGTTTTCTGATTTTTCTGTGATAAAAATTAAGATATATTCGTTATTGAATCTTTTCGTGTTGAGGTTTAATTTTCTTATGATTTCTAATTTGACCCAAAACTGATTACCGACATAAGTATGTCGTATACTAGGAGAAAGGTCCATTTGATTAGATCAAAAGATGCAATGCTGAAAACAAGTTGGTCCTCTAGTTAAAACAGAATCAAATGGAATAATATTCTAGGCGATCTCCTGCCAAGCACTCTTGTTGCGTGACACATCCAATAATGCCGCAAGCCTTCATCTTCAGAAATGCTTTTCAGCTGCATGACAAAAGCAACTAAATAAGATTGCTTCAAAGTGAAAAAGGAAAATGGATATGCTAAAGGCAGACTAATCCTCTGGATTGTATTCTCTAATGCCATCAATTGTGTCGAGAGAAGTTTTTCCTTCAAAAAAATTGTGCCGAGAGATGCTTTTATTTTCTGAATGACATGTTTGCAGAACCAAAAGGCCAGCTTCTGCTGATTAATGGGAGAACTGAAGATGAAGTAGGTCAAAGTCTGGAGAGAGTTCTTCTCACAATGAGAATAACAAATGCAGAACCCAAGGTATGTTGAATTGAATTCATATCTATCTTGACAAGTGTTCTATCTTATTGACTGGTATACAAACTCTTTCATTTGCATCAGCGCCTAATAACTGCGAGCATAAATGTTTGCTTGACTTACAATTTTATAATCTCCTTTGCTAAAGGATAAACAGAGATCGCAAATAATTGAATATTCCAGCCATAACTGCATCTTCAATTGCGTCATTTTCTTAGATCTGGATAATATGAGCCTCTTTCCTTGGTCATTGTACTAGCATATGTAGAGCTTGATGTCGACGTAGGATGTGCACTTGCTTCTGAGTTTCTCTTTGTATTTTTCAGTAGTGCATGAAGTAAAATATGTATCTTTGAGTTGTTTGTTTTTGGAACTTCATGATTGTCCGTGAAGCTTAATGTTTGTGAATTTGTCAGGCTGGGCTCTAAATTTGGATTACTTGAAGAGATTCTTAATTGGTTAATGATATCCTAAGAATCAATTTTTTGCCTGCCTTAAATAAGGCTGTCTAGAGTGCGTTTAGAGTAACATACAAAGAAGTTCACAAGGATTATACATCAACTCTCAATTGGAAGACTAATGGCTACAGTCACGGGAAGATGGAGGTCTTCCCTTTTTTTTGTGTGGGTAATTATTGCTTAATCAGGAGACTCTAAAATCATAGAAGTGCTTTGTCTCTTCGAAAATATTTGGAGGACTTATTTCAGTAAAGGCAAATCTTATCCATGATGGTCTGGTGAAACATTAAAAAGGGCAGTCCGGTGCACTAAGCACTCGCTATGCCCGGGGCCTGGGGAAAGGTCGGACCACATTAGATATATTGTATGCAGCCTTATCTTTCATTTCTGAAAGATTTTGTTTCCACGGCTTGAATCCGTCAACCCTGGTTATACAGTGGCAACCCCTACCGTCGTGCCAAGGCGCCCCTCAAATGAAACGCCAAATCAGATTTCATTTTACAAGATCATATCTATAAAGGTATTACCGTGTTGACAAGGAAGTTTCTCCACACAAAGCTGAACAACTTTCCTTTTCCCATAGTTGGTTAGTGTAGAATAAAGTGTTGATTTGCCAGGGGTAAAACACCTAAACCCTAGGTTAGATCATCTCCTTATCGGTGATGCAGAAATCTGAATGTACATTACTGCAAGTAGATAAAGCCTTGCTGGGAGCTTCCATTTTTCTCCGTTCTATTTCAGGGATGAGTCGCATTGTCTGAACAAATAAACATTATAATTTAAGTGGTCTTGTAAAATGGATTATTGAAGTTCCTTTCTACAGGGTATTTAGACTATCAGACATATTGGAGTTCCTATGTTCTAATTTTTTTTCCTATTTCATTATGCTTGCAAAATATGAAAAGTAGGTCGTGTCCTCGTCTGATAACTTCTCTAATCTCAACCTGCTGTGTCGATGAAAACATTGTGAAAGTGGAAATAAAGCTGGAAAAGAGGATTTTTGGTTTTAAAAAGGTGACACTACGATCTTCATAGCACTATCTCAAAAAAAAAAAAAAGAAGAAGAAAGAAAGCTGACACCGCGATGTACTGGGAGTTAGTGTCTGTTTGCCTTTTTTTTTTTTTTTTT